TCTGATCTTCAAGATCATTTCACCCAGCTCATTCCTTTAAGAGATAACAGAGGTGTGGAAAGTGAAGGGGCTTGGTAATTCGATCACTTTTTGCCTTTTTAAAATTTAGCTGACCTATGTTTTATAAAAAAGTCAATATAATTAAAATGTGTATTCCTGTCCTTCAGTAGTTATTGTTATTTATACTGTTTACATGGTAGTTATTCATGTGGCTGCCTTCTCTGTTATCTCAGTTTGATCTGTTCTAGTATATCTTGATATTATTCAAGCATCTGCCTTCCCAATCAGTATGCATTTCTTCTGGGTCTAAATTTCTAACATTTAAGTAGCCATTTTCCAATTTTCTTCGCAGTATGTAGTGTGTATACTTTAAATTTGTATTATTAGAATGCGTAACTCCAAGGTCTTCCCTATGATTTAATCGTCCATTTGTAGGGAAAAAAATCAACACCTATTTTCTATTCAGTAGCAAAAAATATGTTGCAAACAGTAGGAGGTTTATAATGTTAAAAGCATATTTGTTTTTAAAATAAGGAAGCATATTTACATGCCTGAACACAACCAATTTTTGTGCAATGGGACTAGGACATTGTTTCCTGCAACTCGATTACAGTTTATATACTGCCTTCTGTCTCATATTCTTTATTCTGGCCTGCAATCAGCAGCTTTCTTTTTCCAAATGCTTAGTACAAGTTTGAGCGGAATTGCCTATGGTAGATGGAGAAGGAGGTATGCAAGAGTAGCTTTCATGCTTTCTATAGTTGAATGACTATAAACAATGCTAAAACTGCAAACAATTTCAGGACATTTCACAGACAAAAATTTTATTGGTCTCATGTTCGTACAGTTTTTAGTTTACTTGAAATATTGACAAAGGTGCTAATGTGCATGCTTGGTTGAATTTAACTTTGTAACATTATAACGAAGAACATTATTGTTTGTAGAAATATAGCTAAAAATACTGGAAGCACTCCTCTCATTAAATTAGAAATAACTGTTGCTTCCTGGCCCAAGGGAATCAGAAGCAAGCAGGAAGAGTGGTAGGTATCTCTCAGCGTGAAGTAGAGATGGGTCACTGTTCTCCTCCTTGGAAAACATATACCTTTACTATGTGCTTTCCACATAATTCCCTTTTGGGAAGATGTGACCTATTTTATTAATTTTTCCATGGATCATGTGTGTATTTTTCCACTTGCAACACGCTGGTAACTAGGCTGGCATCCCCCAACCTCACAAAAATCAGTGTTATAATGTTAAAGACATATTTCATATGGATGTAAAACTCTAAATCTGTTTTAAGGAATTAGAAGTATTTACCATTGAGAAAAAGGAAACCCATGTGAAAACAACCAGAATTTTAGGATAAAGAGAGGCAATGTTACCCAGCAGGAAACAGTACAGCACAGTGATTAAAAGACCTGGATTGAGGTCTTCTGTTTATTTCTTCTTTTTTTTTTTTAAAAAAAATACTTTTTAAAATTGATTTCAGAGAGGAAAGGGAGAGAGAGATCGGGATGAAGCCCACAACCCCAGCTTGTGACCAGGAATCAAACTGTGACCTTCTGGTTCATAGGTCAACACTCAACCACTGAGCCACTGGGACAGGGCTAGATCTTCTAAATCTTAGCTGCTGTTTTTGCCTGCTTGATCTACTAGCTACTCAGAGTGGTGTATTACTTTCCCATTGTGATCTATTTCTCCTTCTAGTTTTGTCAATATCTTGGCATTTTTTAATTAGATTATATAGATTCTGAATTATGATATCATCTTGAGTATTGACCCCTATCTCCTTATGAATTGCAGGATTTATCTCTATTTTTTTTTATTGCCGTCAATTCTATTTTCTCTAATCTTAGAATATCTTCACCAGCTTTTGTTCGGTTAAGGTGGTTTTAGGACAAATTTTTGCTGCTTGTTCCCACATTTTTAACTATTTCTCTTGTAAGGGTATTACAGTTTTGTGCCTTTTTAGCCTGTTTAATAATCTTAAACTTTAAAATATGAATTTATTCCATTTACTTTTGATGTAATTACTAATGTATTTTTATATCTACCATTTGTACCAACCATATTAAATTTAATGAGACTTATTTCTACTTTAATCTTAAATATAATATTTACTGTTAATATGTGTTTTTATCTTAATAAAATATTCTTACTCTATTATTTGTTTTCTAAAATTCATTTTAAATTAAAATTAATTAGTGAAATCTATCAAGTGTCTATAATAACTAATATGGTGACTGCATTTTAATGTTTGATTAATGTTTGATCAATTTATATATTGGATATTATTAAAACGTTCCAATTTTTTAAATAGAATTACAACTTCTTTTTTATACCTCAATTTAAGGCACTCAGCTAACTTTTTTTAAAAGTAATTCTTTACTAGAATTTTTTTTTTACGCTCTCTGTCCATACCTTCCCTGTATACATCAGGACCAGCAATCTGTTTTCTTGAGTTAATGTTTCAGAAGTGTTATAAAAGATACTGTGTTTGGAAAGCTTTGCATTATCTGGATGTTTTTATTTTTATATACAAAAATTTAAACTGTGGCTTTGAATCAATAAAAATTAATTATTCATGTTCAATTAATGGAGAAAATGGGTTTCCTAGAGCAATTACAAAGATTTCTTTAAATATTCAAATAATGATAAATATGTAAACTTAAAGTTGAATTTAAATTTTTACTTTGAAAAGAGTAAAAGATAGGAAAATTTTAACCCAGCATCATCAAATATTGATCATCTTATCTTTATTTTGTATTTATACTACAGAAGCTATAATTTGAAATAAAGAAAGTACAAAATTCATTTTTTCATTTTATTTTGCCATTAAGAAACAATTTCAGGTTTTGATTTTTTATGTTATTTTTCATTCCTAAATAACTTTAAGAAGGTCTTTCCAATTGCTCAATTATTTTTCTGTTTCATAAATACGATTTTACATTTCTCCTCACACATTATTATTAAGGTTATCATATCTAACATTTTAGGAATTTCTGTGTATTTCGCCTGAATGAAATTTTGAAGAAAACGACTAGTTTGTAGTAGAATAGGCAAGTGCTTTGAAGTCAGGCACCAGCAGATTCTAAATGCTTGCTCTGCCACTTGATAGCTATATATGACCTTTGACCATTGCGTAATATTACTTGGGATTATTTTGAAGATTAAATGAAATCTTAAAGAATTGTTGAGTGCTTACTCTATGGCAGCCACAGTTCTAACTTCTTCATTACGATATAACATTTAATCTTTATAATAGTTCTATGCATAGTCTCCATTATCATCCCTTTTTTAGAGAAGAAACTCAGACTGAGGATTTAAGGAACTGCCTAAATGTACTTGATGGCAAGTGGCAGAGCCAGAATGTAAGCCCATCCATAATGGCTCGGCAGTTCATGCTCATAGCACTATGTTCCTCCACATATATGAGGTCCAATTTGGTTCTTGACGCCCATTAGGCATGTAAATAGTTTTTAACCTTGTGCTTAGCATGAGTTACCAAACATTTTAAATATATTCAGAGTACTATTTCACAATCAGTTGATTACTCTGTAACTACACCATCAATTTAGTTGAATAAATAAGAGAACTATTGCAAACAAATACGATGTAAAATAATTTTTCTACTTCCTGAATATAAATTTGTCTGATCACCGTTATATCTTGTTGAGTCCTAATTCCTCATATTTAGAGGAATTGTTACCATACATAACTGCATACTAATTTATCAGATGTAGTTCTCATAGTATCATCATATGACTTTCATATATCAAAGACTTTTGAAGAGATAGGAATTGCAAGCTGTGGAAATGGCTTATAAAGGGAGTTTAATTTATGAATGATCATGCTGAGAGTACATGGTGTGAAATTTGAAAGAGAGAAAGATAAATGCTCTCTTTTCATTAAGTACTAGTTTCCCAAGGACAGAGGTTGGAGGGTATCAGGTATCAGGTGCTCCCTTTTTATTCCATTCATCAAAGTAACAATAAGGAAGGAATTCTGTTGGAGGCAGCAGTCTCAGTTAAGTCACCCATAACTGAAGAGAGAGAGTTGATGTCAAAAAGAAAAAAGGCTGGGACAAGAATGAGGGAACTGGACAGAGACATAGCTGATAGAAGGTGACAGACAGAAGGGTCATGTTTTTAAATTCTACTCCACACTTTTGGTGAAAAAGATATGCTACAGTGCTATTCACCTGTTATAAGATTTCACTTTTTGTGAGAGTTATCTTCCACAAATGTCACAAACCTTCTGAAAAAACAAACAAACAAAAAACAATACACCGAGTAACACAAATAGAGAGATGCTACTTCATTCTTGTTCTCTTTTTTTGCAAGATGCTGAAATTTGCATTAATAAGTATTTTGGGCTTCTAATACAATAAGTGGTATAATATTGTTTCAAAGAATTCTGATTTCTGAATTAATATAGACAAATTAATATAATTTCCCCAATGCCTAACTCGATAGCTTTATGTCAATACTAGAGGCCCGATGCATGAAATCCGTGCAAGAGTAGGCCTTCCTTGCTTCTGGCCGCCAGCAGGCACCCAGAACCTGGGCTTCCCTTGCAGCCTGGACTTCGTTCAGAAGGTCATCTGGATGTCTGGTCTAATTAGCATATTATGCTTTTATTATTATAGGTAGAAGATTGTTCTGGAACTGTGTAAAATTTTGAGGGATAATATTCAGTTCCTAAGTCAAGATCTCTATATACATAGGCACTAAAAAAAGCAGTTACTAAAGATGAAATTATGTTAAATTTAGTTAGTAATACCAAGATAATTTTGCCAGTATGGAGTTCTCTGAAAGAGCATCTCCCACATATTCAAGTTCACAGAAAACTGTAAGCCCAAACTCCATGTACTTAAACAAATCACACATATACACACATGCACCCATGTAAAGACATATATACACACTTAGAAATGTAGAAAAATGTTGACATTTTCTCTATTTCATAAAAATTATGTGATTATTCTTCCTTTTTTCCAGGTGGTATTTTTGAATATGTGGAATCCGGCCCGATGGGAGCTGAGGAACTTGCATTCAGATTTGCTGTGAACACCATCAACAGAAACAGAACCTTGTTGCCCAATACTACCCTAACCTATGACACTCAGAAGATAAACCTCTATGACAGTTTCGAAGCATCCAAGAAAGGTAATTGATAGATATTAAACATTATGTGTTCTGGATTTCAAATTTCCAGGTATTCTAAAGAGATTTCTTAATTTCAAATATAATTAAACTAGAGGCCTGGAGCATGAATTCATGCAAGGGTGGGGTCCGGCCTGCCCACCCTGATGGGAGGGGGGTTGACTGGGGACAGGGCTGGCCAGGGGAGGGGCTGCAGGCAATTGTTGGCTGGCCAGCCCCGCCCCCTGGTTGAACTCCCAGTTGAACTCCCGGTCGAGGGGACAATTTGCATATTAGCCTTTTATTATATAGGATTGTTAGGAATATTTTCACAAAAGGTTTCTTTTCAAAATGCGCCTAAAATTATCAAGGAAGTTAAAGTGATGTGACTACCCTTGGCAAATAATTGTGCTTATAACAAGAAATGCAATCAGATCCGTAATAGTAAAATTGCTTTTTCAACCAAATGATTGATTGATTATCAATCAACTCCATTACATTATTACTGTGGTCCTAATTTACTGTCTACCTTGAAAACCCTATAGTTCCACATGATCTCTAAGCTTTATTAGAAAATTTTGAACAATCTTTAATTTATGTATAATCAATGCCCATTTTTTAACCACTTGATGTTCTTTCTTGTAACTGAAAATAAATGACCAATGATAAAAATTGGACTTTATGAAGAGATAATTAGAATACTTTATTAATTGTGTTTTATCATAAATGTTGTAAAACTGTATTTTAAATGATCAGAATAGGAAATAATTTTGTGGGCCATGAATTTAACATTTTTATATGAAAAAAATAATAGAGAAACTATTATCAAGGCATTATTTTAGCCAAACATCAGTAAATGTGTTTGGAGAGATGTTTTGATGTTCATACTCTGTTTAAGTGGGAGGGTTTTTGGGGGGGCATAGATAGCATTCATGTAACAAGAATTAAATTTCATAATATACATTTTCTTCCAAATAATAGGCTTACAAGCATTTGTTCTAAATCTCTATTTTTTAACACAGTTTGCTTTTCTGTCACGCTAATATTGTTTTATTAGCTACCTTACACTGAGGGGAGTGTACACAATTATTTATAATTCTACCTTGGTGAAGATTTCTTCCTAAGCTCATTAATATTAATGAAAGCTGATAAGATACAATATTTCTTGAGATCAAAGAATCCTTCTTTTCCCCCAGCTATGTAGTGTTTATCAAATCCTATATTCTGTCTGCCCTTTGAATTCATATCTTTATGAATACAAATAAGTTTCCATATTTCAGAACCATGTCAGAGTGATGAAAGGATTTAAAGGCTGAAAAAAGGGTAAAGTTTATTGAGAAATACTATCATTATGATGATAATTACAAAATAAGTCATTAACTGGAAGACAGTGCATTTGATTTGTGATATAGTTTATGATTATTTCCATTAAGAAGAAACTCTGTCTCCACTAAAATCATTTAGACCAAAGAATATGAAATATGAGTGCAGTATAAATAAAATATTAATATATTTCTTAATGGATTTCAAAGGTGCAACATAAAAAGGAAGGACTAGAATTTTCTAACAACAAACAGGTTACTGTCCTGGGAATATCCTAGCAAAATTATGAGATGTTAAATGTGTTTGGTTTTCAAATATTAAAAGGAATTTATAAATTTTGTCATCCATTGGGAATCAAATTCATTAATTGACTTTGAGAAGAAGGAAAAACTCAAATAAGTGTATGAATAACTTCATTTGTGAGATGTTGAAAGGTGAATGTCATGGTTTGGATCTTGTGAAGCTCTTGCACAGCAAATATGTAAAAGGATAATATAAGGGGATATCTAATACAGTTTTTTAACCTCATGGGGGATTCAATAAATAAACATGTGTTGCTTAGGATATTAATGGTTAATTATGAAATAACTTATTTATTTTGGACATTCTTAAAATGTTTTAAAATTTGTTTTCATAGGCAAAAATTAAAATATTAAAATTTTAAATTTGTACATATTCTCTGATGTAAGTATGGTTTTATACTTTTAATAGGTAATATGGTTTTGTTCAATAAGTGCATATGTTGTAGCATTAATCCTTGAATTATTATTTGAATAATACATTGATTTTACATAACTCTGATAACTGAACACTCAAATTCTTATTTGAAATACACTTAGGAACATTCTAAATAACCTAATATAATGTTTTTAATTTTCTTGATGTGTGACTTGTCAAAAACTTAGTGAAAGAAGATTTTTTTATTCTCAATGTATGTGAAATAAGATCCAAGTGAGTGAAAAATTTTAGACTCTAGACTTTCTATTGGTTCAGAATTTCAATCATTTTAAACAAGTGGGTTTTTTCAACTGAAATTTACTCAGTTATTAAATAGCTCTATGCTTAATCTATCCATTACATGGCATTTTTATTCAGCAAATTGAAAGAAAATACAAGAATATTTTGTACATCAGACTCATAAACTATCTTGGGAAGATCGGGTCTGCACACCTAAATCCCTATAACAATTCTCTGTAGTTCAGTTTAAATATTTGTAGGGATGGGCCCCTTAGAGCAGAATACTCCATTTTTGGACATTTCTTGTTTCCTTTAAAATTTAATTTTTAATTTAAATTGCATCAAAATTTGTGAGAATCTGCTAACCATTTGTCCTTTTCCAGCCAAATGAAACAAAGTTAAGCATTTTTCACAGGCCAGGTATTCAAATATTTAAAGATGATTTTATGTTTCCAATAACTATTCATTTCCTAGGCTCAAACTCACTTCAGTGTATTTTAAAGAATTGAAAGTCCTGTCACAATACATCTATTCTCATCTGGAACCATCTAGATTATTTATGACTCGCTTGATTATTCTGCTTATCATTGATATGCATAAATTTTCCAGGAAGAAATATAAACTTTAAAAAATAAATGAGATTAATATAAAATACTTATAGTACCCAAAAGTCAAATAAAGATAATTAAACACTTATCTAAATGACTTTCTACCTAATGAAATTAATCCATATGAAATCAGCCTTTTTTTGAGCTATATTAGGTTATGTGTAGGTGGTTGCATGCATAAGCTTGACTATTATATATAAGCAAATACTTAGTTGTATGTGGCCATAGTTTTTGGATGGGGAAGGGCACCAAATGGGTTCTGATAAAAAGAATTCAAATTGTAGAGAATGACCAGTGATTTGGGAAGGAACACTCCTCCCAACTCCCTTATAAGAACTATTCTTCCAAAATGAACATTCCCCTCTTGCATTCTAGAGTAATCCTCCTCTGTCTCCTGATCTCTCGCATTCCCTTGATATTGTCTGCAAAATTATTTGAGCACTGAGCTGCAGGTGCCTGGGTGAATTAATTTCCTTTTAAGAAACTGAAAATATTTAGAGTTAGACAAAATGTAAAATTAGCTAAATGTAGGTTTTATATTTAAAACACACACACACATCTTTCTTCAGGATAATTCCTTTGGGCTTACATAAATAATGTGGTAATGTTGGCACACTGGCATCGCTCTCATTATTGACAGGCTTCTATCTCCTCTTCAGCCTGTGATCAGCTGTCCCTTGGGGTGGCTGCCATCTTCGGGCCTTCGCACAGCTCTTCAGCAAATGCCGTGCAGTCCATCTGCAACGCGCTGGGGGTTCCCCACATACAGACCCGCTGGAAGCACCAGGTGTCAGACAACAAAGATTCCTTCTATGTCAGTCTCTACCCAGACTTCTCTTCACTGAGCCGTGCCATTTTGGACTTGGTGCAGTTCTTCAAGTGGAAAACTGTCACAGTCGTGTATGATGACAGCACTGGTAAGAAAGATCAGTAGCCTTCGGGGCTATGTTTTAAATATCAATAATTTTGTTCTGAAACTTACTCAAGATGCTTACTGTAGTCTTGGGTGCTTTTTTTAAATGGAGGAATGGGAAGATATTTGGCATTAACCATCAATACTAATTTCACACATTCAAACAAACAAACAAACAAAAATACCCCAGTTAAATCATATGCATTTTTGTATTTATAAAAGAAGCACTTTTTTATGTGGAGGATCAGTTAGTATCAACTGTAATTTTGGATGAAAGATGCAAATAGTATGAAATATGATATTGCAATATTTATCCCCAAAACATTTCTGCCGGGTTCAAGAAAATTATTCAACTTAAAACTTCATGATCGGCTTTCAATGAAACTTGTCAAGAAATTCAAGATTTTGCCTTTACATTTTTTCTAGCTCTTTAGGTGCAAAGAATGTTTATGAACAGTAATAACCTTTAACTGTATAACATATTAGAGTTTGTAAACATTTTTATCTTAGATTTCAAACAATATAATATCCATTGAAATACTCATAATTTTGGGAATGTTTATCTGTAGACATATTTTAGGGACTTGAAAAATAAAATTTAATAAGTGATATTTATTGGGATCTTTAGTAAATATGTATTGTGCTTTCTTGTTTTAATGTACATAATTTATATATGAATGGTTATCTTCAATTATTAATTAAAATAAGTTCAAAATATAAGAAAGTAAACAGTAAAAGTAAAGTATTAATTTTCTTGCAGTTACATTGTTGAAGGATGGGCATACTGTTCTAGTTATTATATAGTGATAAGGAATTTCATGCATAGATATTTATCAGTGATCTAAATAGTGCTCTTTAAATTCAAATTTTATGATATTTTATTCTAAGACCTTTCACTATACCTTGATGTTAACATCAAAATTAAAATCTATTTGGATTTAAATTCTCCCAAAGTGTGCCAAGAACACACTTTGTTCATGCATTCAGTATTTAGAATTATGCAGAAATCAGTCCTTTTGACAATAAAATTTGCCATCTGCAAAACGACAGATAGGTTTTTTTTTCAAAGAGAACAGGGAACAAGGCATTACAAGGTTGGAAAAATAATGAAAATAATTTAAAAAACATTTTAATTGGGATAAGGAAGAGTGAGTCTAAATACACATTAAGTGATTTTGCTTTTCTGAATAAAAAGTGAAATGTTGCCGAAACCGGTTTGGCTCAGTGGATAGAGCGTCGGCCTGCGGACTGAAGGGTCCCAGGTTCAATTCCGGTCAAGGGCATGTGCCTGGGTTGCGGGCATATCCCCAGTAGGAGATGTGCAGGAGGCAGCTGATCGATGTTTCTCTCTCATCGATGTTTCTAGCTCTCTATCTCTCTCCCTTCCTCTCTGTAAAAAATCAATAAAATATATTTTAAAAAAATAAAATAAAATAAAAAGTGAAATGTTTATAAATAATATTAACTTTCTATGTGCATGGTTTTTCTAAATTGTATAATGTGATCATCCAGGGCAGCCTCAGTTACAAACCAGTCCATATATGTTTAAGGGTGGTCACATATTAATATCAATGTACATGCATTATGAATCCATGGGTTATTTACTTCTCTATTCCCTCTGATATACTTCAGGTGAATGATGCTCAAATATTACATACCCTCATATACATGCACTCACACACACACACATTTATATATGGATGTTGTGCATGTGATATTTTGTATTTATTTCTTATTATCTTAAAACTCCTCAGAATTGGAAGAAAATTGGTAAACGTTCAAAATTTTTATGGACATGCAGTTTTCCCTCAACACCCCCAGGGGAGTGGTTTCCAGGACCCCTTAGGACTCCAAAATTTGTGGATGTTCATGTCCCTTATATAAAATTGCGTAGTATTTGCAAATAAGCTAGTCACATCCTCCTGTGTATATTTAATCATTTTTAGATTGCTTAGAATATCTGATACAATGTGAACACTATGTCAATAGTTTTTATACTGTATGATTTAGGGAATTATGACAAATAAAAAAGCTGTACAGACACAACCATCATAGGCCTAACTACATAGTACACAATGGTAGCAACAACATTTTCTTTGGATCCACAGTTGGTTTAATTCAGGGATGTAGGACATGTGGGTACAAAGGACTAACTATATCACCTTTCTTCACTATTTGTGTGTGTATGTGTGTGTGTGTGTGTGTGTGTGTGTGTGTGTGTGAGAGACATTTTTATTTCATACATGTGGTTCTTGAGTGATTGAATTGACTTTAAGATAAACAAAAGATCCCCTTCTAAATGGATTCATTCTTTTTGATTATATTTAAAAGTCTCAAAGTATAATTTTAATGACATAATTTAATAGGATAATTTTTAAACTTCCAATGAAAAAGACGTGAGTGTTTGATCATGTGGGAGGGAATCCTATTATAACTAGCACTGTGAACTGAAATGGGGAAAAAAAATCCACCACATACCCAACAAGATGAACATTATTAACTCCACTATGGACTAAATGTATCTGCTGTTTACTGCGGGACACACTGTGCCATTTTATTTATGTTCCCTTCTTCCCTTTCCAGATTCACTTATTATGTATGTCTTTCCTCCCATTTATATTCATTTCTATTTTGTTGTGTTGTCCAGTTTGATACATGATAATTATACTTCCATCCAGTCTTTGTTCCCGCCCCCAAAACAGATGGGATGATAGATGAAATATAGTGCTGGAGTAGGAGAAATTCTTAGAATGATGTTAACAGGAGCTGTTTATTTTTTATGATAATTAGCATTTGTTGTTGTCATGGATGAATGCTTTTAAACACCCTGAAAGTCTGTTACAGCTCTGAATGATGTCCAAAAATGATAGAAAAGAATTGGCTTCAGAAACAAAGCTGTGTTTCTGTCAGTCACTTTGGAACATATGATTCATTTTAAATAAAAACTAAAAATAAGTTGGATAGCTGTCAGCTTGTAAGCAATTCCAGAATAAGTTGTGAATATTTGCTTTAAAATCCCTGTACTTCATCTTTGTTTATAGATCAGCAGTCCATTAACAAAGATCTCTGGACTAGTAAATAAGTCTGGGATTCTATTTCCAGGTTGCTACTAAATTACTGGTACACCTATGGAAAAAGAAGAAGGGAATGAAGGCCTGGGAAGGGGGCTGGAAATGCAAGAGAGAGTAGAGTGAGGGGTCGGAGAGCGAGAAGTTGTGAGCAGGACGTAATTATAGTGTGGCAAGTACAGATAGAGAAGAGAAACAATATAGTGGCAGCTTAGGAGAGGAGGTTTTATTTTTTTATTTTTTTAAATTTTATTTTATTGTTTAAAGTATTACAAATAGTAGTACATATTTCTCCTTTTTTTCCCCTTTGACCTTTCCCCGGCCTCCCCTATTCCCCCAACCCCACTGCACATGCCCATACCTCCCCCGCATCCCAGTGTCTTGCGTCCATTGGTTATGCTTATATGCATGCATACAAATCCTTCAGTTGAAAGAGGGGAGGTTTTAACGCTGCCTAAGAGAAATCAGAGGAAATATTTTGGTGAAGTTGATATTATCATGAAGTTATCATGAGCTTACAATAGGAATGCATCAACTAGAGGAGGGCGCTGAAAGGTGCAACGTGGAAAGATCTGAGAATGTCCGAGGGAACCAGTTAATCAGGGAACTGCAAGTGTTTCATTACCACTGAGCACCAGAAACTATAAAGATGAGGAATGATAAGGAAGAGTTTATAAAAGTCCAGGATAGGAACAATCACAACAATTCTCAAGTAGCTAGCTACTCTGTCTCCCCCCCCCCCAAGCCCCCCGATAGCTGCATGCGTACAGCAGTACCAGTTATGTCTGTGTAACATGACCCTACTTTCCAAGACATCACTGAGTGTCTCAGGGATGGGCTTGTACCCATTCAGTTCCTTTCCTAAGAAATCAGAAAAGGACACGGAGAGCAGGATACTGGGTAGCCTGGACCGTCATGGTTACTATGGCCTTTGGTGTCAAAATGCTCATTCAGGACTGAAATTCTGGCTCTGTTGTGTAATTTTCAGCAAGTTACTTGACATTAAAAGCCGGCATGGACACATTTGTAAATTGAAGATAATAGATACTTAAGGGAATTGTAGTCATGAGTAGTGAAATATGTAAAGTGCTTCATAGAACCCACATAGTAGGAGCTTAAAACTCACAATACAAGTGCCATAGGCTATGTACCATTTATTCCTTATTTTCTAAGAAAAAGGAATGTTATTAACTCCACCTTTTTTTTTTAATATGGGAAAATTTAGATGGAAAGAGTTCAGATAATTTGCCCAAGGTTACATAGCCAGTAAATGGTAGACCTGGGCTTTGTCCTCGGCAGTCAACTCCAGAACCCATTCTGTTAAATGTTATGATAAATTGTTAGTTTTTACATTTTTATTTGATTCATTTTTTTGTCATTGTTTAAAAAAAGAGACACAATCAGAATTACTTTTGACAAAGGCTCTCTGACTATAGTGTGAAGAATATGTTGGAGCTACTGTGATATGGGGGAATCAGACAAGAACAAAAACAAGAGAATTTCTGAATTACTCAAGTTGCAAAAAAGAGTAACAGTCTCACTTAGGGAGATTTTGATGAAGTGATGTTGAGGTAGAGAATTCTCAGAAGAGTTGCCAGTTACAAGTTGTAGGGATTTAGTAAGTAAACAAGGGGAGGGAGTGATGGAGACAGAGAAAAAAGGAACGAACTCTACGTTTCTATACTGGGCTACTAATCAAATGGAAAATTTACCTAAGTGGGGAAAACAATAAAACTGTATTTGGGAGAGGGTATGGTAAATCTGGTTCTTAACACACTCATTTTGAAACAGCTATGAAATATTTCCTTGGAATCATTCAGAGGTGTTGGAGGTATTAGTACATCTTGAAAAACAGGAATTTAATATGGGCTTATTATGCTTCCATTTGCGTTTTTCTCTGACCTCCATTTGGACTTCTTTTGTCAAATGAGGAAAT